GTTCAGTGAAAACCATCACTTCAAACTCAAGTTCAAACTGAACCAACGGAGGAAATTTTCCCAAGTGTTCTACACGCGACAATGAAAATTTGATAAGTACCAACTTTGGTGACCGAAATCTCTTCTCCCATACGTCCGTCCACCCTCCGATCTGAATCAAATCTCTGCCCCTTCTCTTGTCTCGTGCCCTCAGCACGCGCTGGAAACTTCTCCCTCCTTTCGAACCTCTAGGCGTCCAGATTCCTCCCCTTCCCTCAGCATTCGCTGTCTGATTGGATAAAGAGTATTGCGGCTCGCTTAATTTACCACCAATCGCAGGTCGTGATTTTCTGAAATTTTGTTTCCTTACTCTTACAAAAAGTTGACTGGGCACACGTGCCAGGTACGCGTCTCCTCGTCACCGGCTTCTGCATTAACTCCATCGCAATAAACAATCTATCAGCTCCCGTGATTTTCTTTCTTGCAAGACCAGGCCTGTTCTGGAAACTCGATGCGTCAGGGTGAAGGGTGAATCGGCCTCAGGTGGCGGAGGGCGCGGGGAGGATGTAATGACCCAGTGGTGAGGCCTCCCCTTCGGCGGGCGCAGGGCGACTGGCAGTAATAAATACCAGACAAGGGGCAGGGGGAAAGGGCTCACGTGTGTCTCAGTAACTCGCACACAAAGAGCTTGGCCAATCTTACGCAATATTTCCTCACGTATAAACGGATTTCACATAAAATTCTTCAATTGTAGATCTGTTAGGGAATGTGCCATCACAATACTTGTGACAAATTAAATTTTAACAAACATTGAAGTCACCTCGTAGGTATCTTCTTAATTCGACTGTTGACATTGACCGCCCAATTAATTCAAATTTGGTGCCACGCTTCGAATAACTCAATTTCGCTACTCTTTGAGAGCATTTTAGAAGAAAAGATCATATATTTCGAATTTCCCGACGCAAAGTTAGTCTAATTTTGCTCAAAAAGGCCGCGCGATTTCCTTCTCAGCTGACCAAATACCCATTTCTTTTGTTCAAAGTTCTTTGGCATCGAGTGTCATCTGCTTTCTTTTAGTGCGAAGTCACCAATAGATTGCGTCATCTTCTGAGCGGCCGTGACGAAAGATTTACTATTGTCAGATTTTCGGAATCCAATTATTTCCACACCAGACGCGACGAGCTTGCATTGTCATGAAAACCGGAGGAGTCGCGTGTGGTTTCGTAGCCATCGTGCACAGAAGCTAAGTGAAATGTGTTGGGCGTATTGAAAGCTTGATTCGGCAAGCTGCCAGGCAATTCTCAGCACATTTCTGCAGTCTACGACCTCAAACGCCCCAACGCGGCGAGCGTAACCACCAAGCGTGAAATTCGTAAGGAAAATTATTCTTTTCGTCCGTACGGAGGTAACCATGACAATCTCTTCAATACTCATTGATTCTTTCGGCAAGTTAATAATATTTGCCAATTACGTGTCGTTTCATTTCCAGAACTCTCTCGTCTGATGAGAACCTAGAAGGCGGTGTTCGTTGCAGTTTCTGGTAATGCTTTCCCAATTAATCTAAGCAATATTTCGCAGACTCAACACGACTATTATTAATTAAGTTATTTCAATAACCTTTGTTTTGAAAAACGGGAATTAAATAATTTTAATTCAAAACATTTTGTAGTGTGGTGTCTCAAAAAAAACTAGTAGTGCTACAGATTAGCACAGATATTCCCGTATTAGTTTTCTACTTCCTTTGCTCTCGGCTCTCGAACTTGCCACATACTCAGGTCAGCTGCCAGGTGCTATTTATCGCCGCCCAAAATACATTTTTTTTGACATTTACTTAATTTTACGGTTTCATAATTGCAGAGCGAAAATATTACTTTAAGATTATTAGGGAACAGTAAAACGTCGTCCAAAATTGCAATTTTCTTTGAAAAAATTGCCGCTATTTTTAAAAAACTGGCGTTTGAGCTTAACTGTAAATTCGAAATTTGAAGTTCTTTTCCACAGAAAAAATTAATTTTCAAAAAACTTCATTTGAAGCCATTTTAAGTACTTTAACTCACAAATACAATAGTGTTTACAAATTGCTGGAAATATGCATATCAATGACGTGAGAGAACTTTCAAACAATTTAATTAGTGTAATTTTGAAAACAAAAAAAAATACTCCAAAACGAACTACGTCATTTTAAAAAATGTATTAAGCACTATCCGTTCGAAAAGTTAGAACAAAAAAATCTTTTTCTTTTTGAATTAGTTTTTAAATTGCACGCAATATTGCGCAAAGACTATATAATTTTCAAAAAATGTACATAACCTTAATGAAAGAACTTACTATGGAGAAAAAATTTTATTTGAAGAAATATTCTATCTTTAATTTTCTTAAAATTAATTTTCTTTCTTATCTTTAAAAAAATCGTACTTTCGAAATTTTCGAAAATGTAGACATAAACGTGAAAATCGTGACGTTTAAACGTGACGTTAAAAAACGTGACATTTAAGAAAAACATTTTTTCGTTATTAGGGGACCCCAAAACGTGATTTCCATTTAAATCTCGAAATCGATTTTCCGCAGCGTTACATAGTCCTATACAACGTATATTACTCCGTATGTACGTTCGTATACGCAAAATGCGAAGTAAAGAATAACCACCATCAATTTTGCACGTGTTCCAGAGTATGAAATACGTACTGGTAGTAAATTTTGGTGGCAGTAAAACTGAACATAACAAAGGTTTATCTACAGTAGTTCGATTTCTCTATAATATGCACGATAAAAACGAAAAAATCTGCAAATTTTTAAATTTTTGATTAAAGATAATTGCATTTTGGAAAAATAAGATAAGAGGCAGCATTTAGGCACTATAACACAAAATAGGCTTTTATAGGCACTATAAAATTTGCATATAATACTTCTAATACCTGAAAATGAGTAAGTCACCTAATATATTGCGATATCCATTGAAAGAAAAAATAGGCAAATACGCAAAAACCCGCAGCTTACTTAAGACATTTATAACTGTTAAAGGTATTAAAAGTTTTATTACATTAGGTGCATTGTAAAGAATTTTACCCTTAACTAACTTAATTCTGCGGCTTCCAAAGTGAGGAATGCGTGATAACGTGCAACGTCTCAAGGAAATGTTCAAACTATGACGAATCAGCTGGGACAATTACATAAGGATTCTTTTTGCATACGATTAATTCGAGCAAATGATAAGTGATAGATACAAATTTGATATTTTTATGTAAGTAAAGAAATTTGCTCCGAAAATCGTATTCGAAATCGAAAAAACTCATTATGATTATCCAGATTGCATCCAGTATATAGAGAAACACTGCATTGTGGATTAAAATAAACTCTTCTGTTCTTGATCAAACCATTCGCTAAAAAAATGTAGTAATTTAAATGAGTCACTTTTCCTGTGAATGGTAATTTGTTGTTTAGGTCAATTAATTTAAAATAACACAAATATCACTGACTGAAAACATTATATTACAAATAAATACACTATAATTCTGTACAGAATTAAAAGACAGAGAGATCACTACAAAAAAAGTAATTAAACAACTCATTCCAATCTTTGGCTTTTTCAATGCATGTGAATTTATACAAAAAAACAGCGAATGAAAATGATTTCAACAAACCATGTTAAGTGAAGTGGGTGTGCCGACTGTTACAGGAATTTTCGTCATGTTAAATACGAAAATCGTACTTGATTTCAAATAACAGAATGTCAAGCTAGCAACTAAATCACACATTTTAACATTTATTTTCTTCCTCAAAAGATCTGCACAGTTCCTAGAGTTGCAGGCCCTTTGGAAAGTACTCTGACCTACAGAATATTCATGAATAGTAGTTACTCTCAAAATGCCTTCAACTATATAAACAAATGAAAATTTAAATTAAACTACTTTAACTTCACAAAACATTGTTGGTGCTTTTGAAATTTCAATGACATTAACATATCTGAAAACACTTCAAAAGGATAGCAAATAAAAAACAAATTTGAGGACAAAATGTATACCGATATTCATTAGTAATATGATGAGGGTGAATATGGTCTCTTCAAATACTCTCATCCCATTTACACTCAAGTTTCATCATACATTCATTACATTTCTGTATCATTGCATACAGGATAAAAGACAAAATTCAATCTTTGAATAAAAATTATTTTGTTAACTTATATTACATTGTTTTTGATTTACATTTTCTACAGTTCCTTCTTCAGCATCTTCCTTTTAGTCTCGTTGAATGAAAGAAATGCGAACAAATTTACAACTTATTAGCACAAATGGTATCTTTTGTACTCCTTGAGTTCATAGACAGACTCGTATTTGCCTTAACTCTCAGATCTTCTTCTTGTTGAATCCTCCCTCAATTTCCTAAATTAATTTTCAAGGCAGTCACATTTCAATGAATTTTCCGTATTTAATACTGTATTTAATGACTTTAATAAATTAATATAAGACAAGTTTTCGTATTTTATTGCAAATAATGTAAAATCCTAATAGAGTATCGTTCTGATAATTTCTCCTACATGTCGGCAACAAGGATGCATAGATTTCTAATTACCCTGATGTTTTTATCTCCTAGACCTCTTGTTAAGAACAAAACCGAAATCATTCAATAATTTGTTCTCGCTGAGCTGACAGGTGAATTTGGTACCTGCAGTGATTCACAATCCACTAAAAGTTGTTTTATTTGCTATTTTCATGCCGTTTGCTTAATTCATTTTCGAAAAGACTATTTCGCTCCTGTGTATTTCACTTATGCATCGGCGGAATGTATCATAAGAAGTAAATGTTCCATTAGGGACTTGCCTAGAACTTCTTTTCACATCTTGTGATGAACCTTCTTTCTTTGCATAATTATGAGACATTATTTCGTGTATTTACAATCTCTCTCGACATTTAGGAATTCTTCTGGATGTTCATAGATTTTGGTCGACTCGTCATTATAATTAAGCGCTTCACACACCCGACAGTAGTGATACACTGGTGATTGGAAATATCCGTGTTCATTCACAATTTTATATTTATATTTCCACTGAAAATATGTGTTGTAGTCCCTATCGGAATTATCGAGATGCATCAGAAATCTGGCGAGATCAGCTGGAGACGCGAAATCGTCAACATGTAAGTACGACTTGCGGGGGAGTATGTGTCGTATGTTTTCTTGAGTGTCTCCCATGATGACAGGGACAGCGCCATTTCTATACGCGTTCCACCACACTTTTTCAGTGACGTAATCTCGGCAGTTTGAATTTTCGAACGCCAAATAAAATTTATAGTTCTTGATTTTCGGGCAGTCTTTCGTGAAGCCTCCAGGACACCTGAAAAATATCGTGATAATTAGTAAACCATGTGTAAATAAACAAGTAAACACATTTTTACCCTAAATGGCGACTGATGATAACTAAATCAAATCTGTAAAATGTTTGGCGATGCAGCTAGTTTTATACTACATAGGAGCAAAACTTCAAAGTTTTCAAGTCCATCCTTTGGAATGACAGTTTCTACTAACATTTCGTATTTCAAGGAAAATCGTGTCAAAGTCTTGTTAACACATTATGCAAGTGTTCATTCATTATTCAATTGACGAAGTCTTGTTAACATTTTATTCAAGCACCATATCCACCGACAGTGATTATACTTTTTCGCCTTTAACTCTTCAGAAGACAAAGTATTGTCATCGCGTTCTAGAAAACTGCAAATTGTCATCAGAAAAACCCGTATTGCAGAGCCCTGGTAAAGAAGAAATGGATAAATCTTGTTTCTATGTACAGTAAATTACTTTCTCTAACATGTTTAGTCAAAATTCAAGTTTGATGGGCCCTCGATACCCAAGAATGTATTGACAGCAAATCGTATGTCAGAATGTCCGTCAATCCGTCCGTTCGTCACCCCGACCGTCCGTCTGCCTGTATTTGGTCAACGCCATCGCCTTAACCACGGGTGTCCAACTTTAAGGCTTCAAGGGCTACAACTAAGGTCTTTCTTATGATACCGGACCATGTTTTCATTTCGCGGGCGATCCACACTTGACCCCATTTTGTTGATATCGGCTGTTTCCCGGATGCTCTGAAAAGACCGGCGGAGGAGAAGAATGAACTAAGGGAAGATATCAGGCTCTACAATGCGTAACACAGTTAAACACATTCGGATGTTGTTGAATTTCTGGATTGACAAGTCAAAAATTCTACGAATCTAAACTTGATCTATTTTTTTATCAAAGAGATTGTTGATCCCGGCAGGGCGGAAGTGCTACGCGCGCAGTGTTCTCGCCCGACACGGACGAAGGGGCTTAAACATTTGTCTAATTATCTTCCGCGGGCCACGATAAATAGCACCGGGGGCCGACACTTGGACAGCCCTGGCCTAAACCGCCCGGCCGATTTTCTCCAAAATTCATATTTCTCTACGCCCTCTGAGTTCGAAACATATATTTTAATTTTGAGGGGTACTATACATCAAGCATTAAAATCATTTTCAACATTATCTCATAAATAGATGAACATTTTTGGATTAAACTGTCCTCGGATAGCGTAAATTGAGCTTAAAATTATGGTGCAGGTTTCATTTTCGTTCAAATAACAAAAGAAGAACATTATTCTATAATACTGAATGAACAGTTATAGAAAATTTGTTTCAAACATCAGTTGGAATGTTTTTACATTTTCCTGCAGAGTAAGAGAAAGATGACGAAAAAGTGGATAAATCCAGTTGGTAAATTTAGAAAAAATTCTGTATTACATGTTATAGCCAGAATCCATGTGTTGTGGGTTCTTGATACCGAAAACTAATATGATGGCAAAACGTCCGTTATTTTAAATTTAAAGATTTTAAATTTTTGGTTTGCTTTACATAAAACTACAGGGAGAGTTTCAAAATTTCCAAAAATGCTGGATCCAGCATTTTTTATTAAAGTTTGTTGCCGGATAATGTGAAGAACGTTATAGACCATAGTGCAGGACTACATGTTTGTTGAAAAATCCAATTTTTCAAAAATTTCAAAAGTTGAAACTTTTTCGGCACTTTCCTACTACTACGATTATGTAGATAGATATTTTTATCTTTAATAAAATCAATTCCTTTAAGATAGACTTTGAGGTAAAGTCATGCACAACTTGTCGAAAATTTTAGTAAATTGTGAGCAATTTTGCGTGAAAATAAGTGCGAGAAAGTACATGCTGTTTTAGCAACACTAGTTCTAATTTTAAATTATACCCAAGAGAATGTAGTTTCTTCAAACGACAATAAACAATTTATATCTGCTATTATTAATAATAAACGTGTAGCAACATCTTTTAAATCGCATCAGCCACATGCGTTTGTAACCATTATCACTCTTAATTTGGGGGTATTTAAACATGTGTAACCTCTCTTAGTAGGTAATTGTTGTAGATTACTCCAAATTTATAATAAGTGTATCAAAACACCATAAAATTTATTCCTATGTCCAGACTTCAACAAGAAAACAACTTGAATATAATAATTCATCTACGAAAATCTATATAAAACTATTGCAATTATCCGATAACTGGACAAATGAAATTAAAGAAAGAGAGACCGTTGTTAATCAGGGGCATACTTACGCTTTCGAATCATTGCCGCAGCCTCCGTAGACGTCTACGCGCATGTGCTTTTGCAGTTCGCGGACGTAGTCCCACCGATGGTTCCAGCCGCCACAATTTGACCCCATCACAGCGACGGTGCCGGTTTTGCCGAGGGCATAATTTTTCGACACAGGAATTGTCGCCAGGGCAGCTGCAGCTTCTTCCTTCGTCAAGGGGATGGCGCGACCGTAAGGCACCGGCACATCGGAATCCATTCTGTGATGGCAAATGCAGTGGAATTAGTTTGGGGCAATTTATGGTTTGGTCTTCTCGAGCGCGTCAAATGCTGTTATAGTTTCTTCCATATGTGTCGTGTACGTTTTATGGCGGCGTTTCTCCGCGGTTGATTTGTGTGATTGGCGGTGACCTACGTCATATTGCTGGGAATATAGGAGTCTCTGCCAGCGGGGCACCACCCTACCCAAGATAAACTCTAAGCTAGCTAAGTGTGTGTGTGTGTGTGTGTGTGTGTGTGTGTTTAAGGGGAGGGATGAACAAGAATGAGGAAAGGACGGTCGTACGCAGCTCATGACCACAGCTCTGGGATTCGCCTGGTATTGATTCAAGAAACCACGGAACAATACCGATTAGAGTATTCAACCGCTAGTGTTCTCCAGTAAATGGCTAAATAGCTATCCTAGCTATTTAGCTATTGTCAAGACCTACGCCACAACGGGGATGCAAACTCTAGGATCTCCCGGTGAAAGTCGCTGCAGAATCAAGTTGCTAGCTATAGCTAACTGAGCACGTCAAGTACTGTAGGAGAAATCCGTCTGTGTCTCTCCTTCCGTCCCTTAATATGAAATAAATCCTTGGGGCAATGGTTATGAGTAAGAGATGTCAAATGTTATTAATACATTTGATGAAGATCACAGTACACTTCTTTTCAAACATTATGTTTACATTCGGAACTATAAAAAATATATTAAAAATATCTTGTATATTTTAAAGATTTATTCCTTACCTGTAGCTCATAGACCAATTAAAAACGCCGACATAGTTTTTTAATTTATTAGTACTTCTGTCAAACAGAAATGTATGATGAGGACTTTCATCAGTAAGAAATATCCATCTTTGGTTTCTGTGCTCTGGCAAACGTCGAGGTAGCTCATTTATGCTTTTCGTCCGATGAAGATGAAAAATAACCGCGTCTGCTTTGGACAAGAATTTATCGTCGTATTCTATACGGCAGTTACGTACTGAGCAATCTTCATAAGGATCATGTCTGAAAAAGAAAGAATTTCATTTAAATAAGATTTGTTTGATTCTTGCAAATTTGGCATCCACTATTTTACTTGTAATTCTTAATTTACGAAATGCCAAAGACTCAAATCGCTTAAAAATTTTATAATATAATAACACATTCATTTGACTTTCATAATTTCCCGTCCCTGACAAATACGTGGCATGATGGCGTGACGAAGCTGGTTCACTAATTATTGGCAATGGAAACGGATTTGCTCTCCCCTTCCGTGCCGTATTATAAAGATGTTCCTCAAAACATGCTTGAATTTAGTGACCACACTCTCAACTGGGATCGCTTTATTGTAACTGACAGACAAGTCGGCGACAATAGACCCAATAAAACTTATATCGATAGAAACCATTAGCAGGCTCTCCTTATTGATATATCAATACCGAACACCCACAACATAACGGCAAAACATCAAGAGAAGTACCAGAAACATACCGATCTCGCCTATGAAGTCGCAGCTCAAAGGAACTTCAGCAAAGTGACAACTGTGCCAATATTAATATCAGCCACAGGAGTGATCCCGATAATGACACTTCGAACACTAGAGTGTCTTCAGTAGGATGTCAGGAATACATACAATATGCGGAAGGCAGATATCTTGAATACATGCCGTATAGTTAGAAACCACCCGAATCTTAAATAAAGCAACTACACTCCTGGTCATCATACCTGTGAATGGTTGACAAACCGAGCAGTCAAACTGTGAAGAATAAATAATAATACTCACGAAGCGAGACATGAAGGGTTGAGGTTTCTTTTTTAAGATTGATGCCATAATTAGATGCATTGAGTACTGTTGTCTGAATATTCAAGGCTAAGTCACCCTGGGCTTAAAGAGTCACCCTGGATATTCCTTCGGCGGATGTGTATAGGATCTGTCTGGACGGATGGTTTTCCATTAGAGAGATACAGTTTTGTGTTCTATCGGCTCATCACCGTTATCAGAAAGTTTTGGAAAAACGGGTGGATCTTCTATACCTCCAAACACTGAACAAATGAAGAATTGGGCACGGTGTCGAATGCGTGGGCATAATCTATGTAACATGCGTACAAGTTGGTTTTTCAAGCACTTGCATTGAAAGCTGGCATGCGTTCAAAGCTGCTTGGACAACATCCACAGTCCCATTACAGGGGTATCTCGGTGCCCGTCATATTTCATTTCAATCCACGTCACATCTGGGTTATGAGACCCAGCAGATGACCAGAAAGGCTTCCAAAAGTCCACAATCTGTGCCTTTGTTGGAAAGTTTTGACTCTTTCACATCTCTTGCAAGCTCTTTGTCCTTAGAAAGTTTAATGTAGACTGCTTTCTCGTTCCCGTTGAAAAGAGTATTCTATTGCTTCCACATAGTACAATTCCTATAGCGTCGAAGGAGTTTTGATAACGCCAAAATATTTTGTCAAGGGCTCGTGCTTTGTACGTAATTCTGTATTGATATGGGTGTTATTCACCTTTATTCTCAGTTTTCCGAGGCATTTCCTTCTTGAAATTGAGTCTCCCAAAATCTCTTATAATGCGTTCTAAATGATTTACCAGCCGTCTTTAGTACGGTGGCATTCTTTCACTTCGATTATTACTATTACTATTATTATTATTATTATTATTATTATTATTATTATTATTATTAACACATTTTAATAATTCCAATAATATACAATATACTTGTAAGTACAGAAAATAAACATTTTGTAATGAATAATGGGAATTTGTGTACATTTGAAAGAAATTTATATTTACAGTTTAAGTTTGCCATTTGTTTTTGTGACCAGTTTCCCTTGACCCTGAGAGCAAATGTGGCTTTGTGTTGCTTTTAGGCTATAAATAAAAATTTACTTTCCCTTAAGCCATATTCACTTTTTACTAATGTAAACATTAAGCTCCACCATAATCATCAAGAAATTACTGTCAGAGAACACAGAGGGGGAAATTTCGTCTTTCAATAAAAATATGTAAAGGTAATTTATCGTAGGAAAAAATATCATTTATATCACAGAAATAAAACTGCCAATACGAATATTATTCCGACGAACCCTACTTTCTCCACGTCGTTGAATTCGTCGGAGTTCTCCTCAAAACTTAAGCAGGTAACTCTTTTACTATATCTCGTATTTAATGAATAATACCTAAATATTGTTTATATTTATTTTATTTATATTAATTTATCATTAAACTTAAAACACAAAAGTAATACGTATATTTCTACTTGTAAACATTTGATTGAAAAAACGAGAAAATACTCAACAAATACTAACCTTAAAAGCAGTATTTTAAATTGACTTTCATTAAAAACAGAAAATATATATTAACCATTTAATGAATAAATAAAGAAATACCTTTCTTTTCCATACTGGAAAATATGTCTATTTTCCATATTGAGTCCGTTTTTCCAAATAAGGACGGTAAAGGTTTTGTTTCTTCGAGTGAGGTTCGCAGTATCTTGCAAGAAAAGCATCCGGCCAAGTGTCGACAGTTGAGAGATCTGAAATATTCAAAATAATCTTTCATCCAGCACGATCACAAATCGACTAATATAGTTATATTTAAGTAACGAGTTCTCTAAATCATTCTTTAATGGCGAAGCCTAAGGGGTTAACTGCGAGGCGAAGCGATAGTGAAGCTGAATAGTTAACCTTTCCCCCTAGTCCTTAAAGACTAGTAAACGATTTACGTATAATGTTGTTTTGTTATTTCTAGTTTATCCTAGTTTATCGCTTATTTAAAATACATTTTTATCACTTTCATGAGTTAAGACATGTCATTACTCTCGATTTTCTGTAGAAAGGATTTGTGGGACTGGATGCTTTGTTTGTGATCAAACAGCTGTATGTCTTTTCTTCTAATGCAAGCTGATTGAGAAAAAATGCTCGGGAATTTCGAAGATATTTTCGTGTCAGATGATATTGTGCAGGAAGCAGAAGCTGCAAGCTCTAGTTTGATGTCTTCTAAATATATAACCACTCATGAGAATGTTTATGATTTATTTTGTGAATAGAACAAAAAGATATGTTCGAGGCATTAACGAAGAGATTATTCTAGCATACTACTTTCAATATATGTATGACAAAATACTTGTAAAAAGAAACTTTGTTTATATTTGTTCCCAAAAATTGTGTTTTGTGTCAACGCCATATGTAACCCAAGTTTTATGAACACTGGTAAAATCTAAACCCGAAAGTCCGCTAAACTGTTTTAATGGCCTCTCGAACATTGCAATGGCATTGTAATGTTGTTTAGACGGTTGGTTGCTAAAGCGCTAAGTGCCTGTTTACCAACGTATATAACAAAAAATATTTTTTGTAATTTTCGTAACTTACGTTTTTTGTAATTTACGTCGATAAACACGTATTTAGCAACCTATCATCTAAACAACACTTCAAGATCGCGTCCTTAGCAACGGCCGTTAAAATGCTCGAGAGTCCATTAAAAATATTTTAGCTGACTCTCGGGTTTAGTTTTTACAAATGCTGATAAATATTTGGATAAATCTGTTCTCATTGCCCCATTTTACCCACTGTCTCATTTTACTCATTGTGCCCTTTTCCCCTCTTCGCCCTCCTTTCCGCGCTTCACCCCACTTGTCCCTATTCGTCCTTTTGATCCTTCCTCGCACTACGATTGTTATTTTAAACACGGTACTCTGTATTAACAACCCTTGCTACAGAAGAACAACGAGAATAACGGCAATTCGTAACTCCCGAAAGTGTGAAGTGTTTATTTTGAATAACTAAAATAATTAGAAATAACAAAAAACATTGTATGCAACATGTCATCTATTAGTATCTATTTTAATGTGCTTAAAAATAATGCACTCATCTTCGAAATGTAGCCCTTTCACTTCGTTGCTGCAAATTACTTCTCCCGTTCGACTTCCGCCTTGATAACACCTTCATGATTGAACATTTCAGAGGTTTAACCTTTCGCTTATCAACCGACGCTCCGTGCCCCGCTACCTTTGTTCACTCCACGGGGCCTTGACCCCAGCCTCCTCTCTGATGCACGCGGTGGCCCGTCAAGCCCCCTACGCCCGAGGGCTCGCTCGCGCTGCAAGTGCCGGTGGCAGCGCTTAAACTTCGCGACAAGCAGGGAGGTTTTGAGGCGGCTGAATTGACACGTTAATGGACAATATGAAACGTTTGGGACGCGTGTCCGAAATTAAAAGAAGGTTTTGAAACTTTCAATACTCCAGAGGTTATAGTGACAATCGCATTTTTACCGCATTACGACGCGGACGTGCTCTTTAACATTTTGGAACCGTTATTAAGAAAATCTGGCCCAATTGTAGTTGTTTTTCCGACTTCACTCTAAATTCCCAGGAAACTACTCATTTAAAAAAAATTCAAACCAACTTCAGCAAAATTCATCATTGAAGGAATATCTGTTTTCTTACGACATTAGATCTTTCAATAATTCATATCCGAAGTTTTGAATTTAGCTAGAACATCTTTTGATAGCATGCGCTTTTAGGCAACCCCTGTTGTAAGAGCTCACCTCCTTCTTCGAGAAGCCCCTCCAGGCGACCGGGTCCGCGAGCGACAGCGCCTCGCCAGCAGCCGCCGGGGCGAAGGCGGGGCCTGGGCCGGGGGCGGGGCCGGGGGCGGCGGTGGGGCCGGAGCCGAGGGCGGGGCCGGGGTTAATGTACGTGGCCAGCACCACCCAGCACACCGTGGTGGAGATGACGACCGCGACGAGCAGCGGTCGCCGGTTCTGCCGCATCGCCACGCTCTGCAGACACACACACACACACTATCTCAGAATATGCCACTCCACACGGAGCCCTTTTAAAGGGAACGAGTGGTAAAGTTCTTAAGGAGAGAGTATTTTTCACAGCGTGAAACACTATAATCGTTAACCACACGATCCCACTTCTGGACCAATGTGAATGCGTGAACTTCGGCGTCACAATACGGTTATATCAGAAAACGATATTCCACCAGAAATATCGCACGTAATATTAACATGATTGGCATGTAAGAAGACTTTTTCATGAATTAAATTAAAAAATATTTGCAGAAAAATTTTCGCAATACGCCAACTATTAATAATGAAACTTTGACTTACAGTGCACACCGCCTCCAATAACTGATGTTTTGTAACACATGATTGCCCAGTATTGAGAAGGCAAGAAAAATGGATCAGTGAATTCTTCTATTATTCCGTGATGGAAAATCATTTAGCAGGCAAACAACTGGACAGCAGCTCTTTCGAACAAATAGGACTAAAGAGATTGTGGTATATTCGGAATTTAGAGTTAGAAGCAGAATGCTATCATTCCTATGGAACTTCTTTCATTGTAGTCGTCGTAGTATCAAAATGTTGTTAAAACTCTTTAACATGGTACAGGTTACTGAGGTGCCTCCAATGTGCAACACATCATACCATACCCAGTGAACATTTTCACATAAAACTGTTGAGTTTTCGAGAAAAAGCATTCTAAATAATTTAAATCACTCGCATTTACAAATGCAACAGTATATAAAAATCACCGGAAAAATATTAATGACGTGAGAGATATTAAAATTATAGGTGCTACAACAGCATATACTCTTACGCATTTTGTAACGGCTCCGCAATAATATACTAGTATAAGAACCAGCAAAAGTGTTACTATTGGCAAAGGCGGTCAAATTAATTCCAATTTGGCGCAACGCTTGGAGCTGATTCATTTTGACAATTCTTAAGAAAAGATTATACATTTCAAACTTCGCGCCTTTGCTATTTAATTGGGTTTAATTTGGACCAAAAACCTGCGAATTCTCTCAAAAGTAACAAAAAAATTGTATGAAACTCTTTGAAATAAACCTTTAAACTGCTTCCAAAAGTGATCAGTAAATCGCACCACCTCCTGGCCTGCCGGCGGGAAAGTTTGCACATTGTAGAAATTTTCCGGAATTCAAATTTTACAAATGAGACGCGACGAGTTGGTGGTACGTTCCGGTATTCAGTCTTCGTGACCCGCACTCCCAGACGCGGCAACATGCAGAAAGCAATGAATGAATAGAATTCGTTGGAGAACGCTTATTTTCGGCAACACAAGGGTAACCATGACAATTTCTTCAATAATTATTCTTACGGCGAGATATTAATATTGTCAGTTGTGTGTCGTCTTTTCAGAACCTTCTCGTCTGACGAGAACACAGAAAGGCGATACACAGAACTTCTCGTCGTAATTTTTGCAATTGCTCTCCCAATCATCTAAGCAACCAATATTTTTTTCTCTGTGCCGAGAATCGAACTCAGGTTCATCCAGTTAACTCGCCCTGAGCTTTACCGTTTCACCACGCAGTCGCTTGATCATACTCCCTGTTGCTGACAAAACTACAGGTCTCTCCAATTATATCTAACACGCAATTTTCTAAAATTTTGAGACTTCAATAAAAAATAGACCTACGTCAGTTTTAAAAATCCTTCGCACTTACTGTGGAAAAAGATTAAGAACCCTTTAATGAAAACCTTCGGTTTTTATAAATTGCATTAATATTAACCCGGACGGACAGACAGACAAACAGACAAAAATAGTTCAAATTTTCGTGGCATATCTCAATTTTTTAAAAATATTCTTGAGGCTTCATGTAAAGAGCCCGTAAAAATGAAAATATATTTTCCAATTGAATGGTTCGCGGCAGCAGATCGATCGATGAATATCAATTTTGGTTAAATCGTGCTTATGATTACCTTGTGTTGTTCACCAATGGATGGACATGTTTGGCCGTAAACCAATTTTTCGGTATCAAGACCTCAAAAAACGTGAATCCTGTGTTAGAGCTATGCATTTGAGGAAGTAATTTATCGGATAGGATTGAGAATTCTCCACTTTTGCGATATTGGGGACCTGCAATATGCATTTGTCTGCTGAAAAGCTGCTGAAAATAAAATTAACATTTTTATTCGATATCCCTCCCCAGTGTACACCATAACTGAAAGTGACACTTCCCGTACTTGCGAAAGATCGGACTGTTACTACTCGCGAAGGTGAATGGTAAAGAAGTCCTTTGCGACTACTTGGTCGTTCCGGTGAGTATCTATGGTACTCCTCGACGACGCTAGAAGATTTACCGCCGCCGACGTTTTGCCCCACGTCAGTCTATAATTTTACATCTTAGGAAAAGATCAATTAAACCAAACGTTTATCTCGATTTCCCAACGTTGGTCATCTGCATTGCGGACAAATCTTACAAATTATTTTAGCTACTGACGAAACGTCATGCAGTATCTGTGCTCCCAACGCACTCATTTTTTATACAAATAAAAGTGTAAATGGGCAAAACGTAATTCGCCACTTCTCACAATGGCTTCCTCACAACTACAGTCACGCACAACAACGAGAAAAAAGTCATCTTACTCCCCTCCTTAACTGTGAAGAGAGGTAGTGCCGTGGTGAGATTACTTTCCGCAAAAAAAAAAATGGTTCTTTTCAAAGAGGTTTTATCCTTACTAATGTCCACGGTTTGCTACTCGGTCGTCATCTTTGAATGTATTGCATTGAAGTCGGATACAAGATGATTGACTGCATCGTTTCAACGCTTCCTTTAAACTCGAATTATCTCTAGACATTAAAGCCAACAGAAACAAGGGCATGACCCTCTTGCGTGGGTCACTGAACAATGGAGTTCAAGTTCAAGTGCGCCTGCCTCACCGAAGCGCGATCGGGCCAATTGCGGCACAGCTGCAATCAGCTTTACATGCGGCGCAGGGCAGGTGTGCCTGCGAGCACAGTGGGAGGGGGGGGCAAATATGGAAAGATTGTCCAAATATTACGCAAATTCCAATTTGTGTCAACAATAATCAAACTACGCTTAAAGTAGTCAGTGTTATTTAGATTAAAAATATTAAAAAGGTGATCATTTTTCCTGGAAGTCCTTGATAAATATTGTAAACTGAATTCAGGACCATACAAGGGGAGGCAATGACGAACTAGAAAGTTACGTTTTTAAAATTTTCTTTCAATGTTTCGTGGGTATTTTACGCCGCATCTCTTCAGGTGGTGGAATGAACATCAACATTGAAAATTGATCCAACACTATGTAACTTTACATACACAGCAACCAAATTGCAATAATACATTCCTAAACCAAGTCCATTAAATATAATACCAAGGTAAAATTGTATCTAGGGTTGGGTCATTTTAGTCGTTTTTTTTAGTCAGATCAATTTAGTATTATATAATCTGTCTTTTGATATTTCCCTAGCACAATTACATTTCATAATTCCTTCCAAAAGAGAATATTCAACTGTTTTCATATCTCTCTTGTCTATCTATAAAAGTCATGCAACGTATATCTAACTCCTTATTAAAAAGCTATAATAAACCATAACGTATCCGTAAAAATAAATAACTTTCTCTTTAAAAATATATTACTATTTCTTCTGAAATGAGAATACATGCTTTGTGGGTCCAAGATTCCGAAAAATCATATTGGTTGACGGTAAAAATTTTGTGTATATTAATCGGTTTGCCTGTAGACAACACTAGCGCATAAACCGTTTGGACGATTCCTTCAAAATTGACATTTTCCGATCGATTTGGTCGAACTTAAAGCCAAGTGAATTAGAAACGCAAATTTCGATTTTGAGGGATACTTTACATTCTTTATTTTTTTTCCAATGGTTCCAAATTTTTGGATTATTGTTTTCTGGCAAAGAGCAAAGTACTCTTATAAAATTGACGCATATCTCGTATACGTTGAACTCTTAATTTTTAAAAATTGCAAAAGTTCAATTTTTTCGGCAGTTTCCTACATACGCAATATTGAAGTGAGAGATTTGTTTTCTTAATTAAATGTGTTCTTCAACGCTATATCTTTAAATAAGGTCACGTTCATTGTTTCAAAAACATGAGTCTCTTTTCGTAATTTTTTGTCAACATTCCATGTAGTGTGAGAAAGTACATGCTGATGTATCACCGTCAGTTTAAAAATTACATAATGTCCTGTTTATGAGACAAATTCCATTACTTTATGGTACGAAAATAAAAATATATCCAAAGAATGCCGGATAAACAATAAATTTAGAATGTTTATTCATTTTATTTTCAAACACGATGAAGACATCACGATAACTAAAAGAGCACGACTGACGCTCAGACGTACTCGGTCACGACTAAGAGGCACGACATCGCCTTTGACAGCGAATAACTTTCTCAGAACAGGACATCCGCTCACGGTTCAGTGATAGCCATATATCACTAAATCTCCTGAAGAAGACATTTTTTTAGTAGAATAAAAGCGAATGCTCTAAAGGTGAAAAATACGACTTTAATTTTATTATTTTCTCCTTCAACGGAAACTTTGATAATTACATATAGTAATTTAAGTTTAATCGGCAAATGCTGATCTGTATTAAAAGGTTGCCATTGGTTTTTCTTGAAATGACTGCGCGTACTTTGCGCAATCCAATTACTCGTTTCGTGTATTAGAATATAGTGATGAAAGTGTGAAAAAATATTTTTACCGGCAACAAATGCGGCAACTGAAGCCCATATTTTACTCAAATCCGGAATAGCACAAATGAGTTCATCGCCGGTCCGGATGGCCGAGATCGCTAAGGCAGTAGTGCCGTAGCGATCTCGAACCGAAGGATCACGGGTTCGAATCCCGCCTCAGGCATGGTTGTATTGTATTCGACCTTTCACCATACCTTATCATCACATCGTGTCATCCTCATAGTTATCATACCGTTGCACGCAATAGTGGTCGCTAATGACCTAGTAGTTGACACGACCTTAAATAACAAAAAATGAGTACATTATGACTTCGCTTCAAGTAACCGAATATTTTCTTGGTAACAGTACGGATCATATTCTGCATCTTCTGGTATCCTGTACCTTTGCAAGTCAGGATATTATATTAGTTGCTTTAAAAACAGCCTTTTTTCAATTGCCAGAATAAATGCAAATCAACAAAATGTGGCATTTTGGGAATTTAGCACACGCCTTGCTGACTCGGTTCGGAACTTGTGCCATTTTGATCTAAACGTTGTGCGAAACCTAGAGACGTTTTTCGTAGTGTGAAGCATCTTAGCGTATACCACATTTGATCCCCAGGGCTTGTGCAGCACAATGTACAGTGGTCTGCCATATTATTATATTCGCTACGAAAATACCACTATTTCATTTCTTTGTAAAAGTAAACTATTTCTGATTAATGTTTTCATTTTTTTAATTATGGAAGTATTAAACGGACTTGCATAATAAAAAAATTGAAAACATTCATCAGAAATATTTTTCCTTTACAAAGAAATGAAAAAAATGTGATATATTTCTTAGTGAGTGATAATATGGCAGACCACTGTAGGTGCGACACTTTTCACAGCTACTCCATTCTACGATAACGAGACAGTAGATACAATGACATTGGTCATAAAACTATATTGTTCACACGAGAAGTTGTTCTATTTGTCGTAACACGAAATTGGGGGATCAAATCTACTAAAGTAATTACTATATTCCACTTTCAGGCACAAATTATGAGTTAATTTGCCAAAAAAGATATTAACCAATATATAGTGCCCAACAAAAACTTCCACACTTGTGTGGCTGAGCAAATATCCCCCGCATATGGCAGTGCCACATTGCAAAGATGCCACGTGCCTCCGTATTTGCATGAACACATTTTTGTGTGATAATTTGCCACACCCTCTCGATGACGCAGTAAGACAGTTCGCTGCTTTCGCGACGGTATAAAAGGAACCGCTTTTGTCACAGAGGACACACTACCCTTCGGCACCTCACCAACAGCAACATGCGCTTCTATCTGGTAAGCATTCGCTCCAGCCCCGCACATATCGTACCGCAATCTAAAACAATGGGAGGATATAATTTATTTTTAGTGGGGTGTAAGAGATCTTCAACTACTCAGGTCCCTGAGACTCATAAGTGATTGTTTAATAAGCAGATGATAGCTGTAATGAAGATGAGGTGGGTGGTGATGGGAAAATAAATAAGCGGGAGGGGTCACGGAAGGACCCCAAGCAGAATCTGCCCAGAGCTCGCTTTGTCCACTCTAACTCCACATGAATCGGCGGGGGATTGAAACTGGAACCCAGAGTTAGATGGCACATACCCTTTGAAACCGATGAGTTACGAGACTCCGGGAAGGACACAATACAAGTTTTGATTTGCCAAAATTCTATAGCGGAATATTCTATAGCCAACCATTTTCATGAAAATGCGATTAGAATTTTCAGTTTTAGAAACGCCCCCCCCCCCAAAAAAAATATCAGAAAGTTTATAAACGACTCTCAACCGAATGGGCAGCGAGCTCCAATAATATTGTGAGAATATTATATTTATTTTTTAAGTATTTTTAACATATTCTTTTACTTCTAATCTGCTTTGCCCATTGGGAACATCATTATTGTTTTAAAAGTGAAAATAGCTTTATACTCTAATCCAATTTCCAACGACTGTGCCTTTATCTGTAATTTGCATCTGCTAGTCCGGGTACTGCGAGTGGATAAGTATGATAGTAAACAACAATCAGCTAAGTCATTATTAGGAGAAATTTGAGATTTTTTTTCCATTCTGCTATACCTCATTTGCGATCAAGGCTTTATGACGCTGACTATTAATCAAAATAATAGTGTATTATCCAAAATGCATATATTAAAGTTACATAAATCCATCTTTTAGAGTAGTAATACTATTTAGACTTATTCTGTGGGACATTTAGGGAGATGCGTGAGCGATTCTTGTAAAATCGCACAATAATGATTTGTCATCAAAATTATTTATTTCCTTAACGTTTTTTAATCGAGGTCACTATAACGTACTGAGTATAACACAAAGTTTGAACATGTTACCCAGAGCAAGTTAAAAACGATTAAAAGCGAAACAAAATGCAACATTAGTCTCAAAACACATATTGTGGATTTACATTCACGTTGAGATTGGTGAGCCACAGCGGCTCAATACGATGTGTTGTGCATTTATAAAGTATACAATTATTTCTCATAATGTTTTACCTATTTATAAGTAGAATCGTTATGAGCAACAATTGGCATTTAAGTTATAGTAATTAATTAACTCATATCTCGCAACGCACATGTGCTCATCTTAGCAACTTCCCACCCTTTCTATCATCTCCGTGTCTAAAATAGCAGTGTCATTAAAAATGTATCGAGAATTTTGCGCTTAGAATTACCTGTTGATGTCACGCCCGCGAGTCTCGTGCAATCCTCTCCAAGATATACGGCATTTGCATTCCAATACGTAGTAGTACATTTTTTCGTAAGAAATAGCACATACACATTTAATAAAAGATGTAGATAAACAATTACTGCTGCCGTTTGAGTCGGCTTTGGTCAAAGCCCACTATTATCTTGATGTGAACTGATCAATTACGAGCTCCACTGAGTCTACAGAATCATGCAAGAAGAATCGAGACCGGGACCCACAGTGAAATAAATCATTTCCCGGCCTCGCGGAGGCGTATGCATCAGCTGACATTGATATTATGAGAAGGGTTCCATAAATTCACAGTCCACCTCGTATGTGTTTTCCTATAGAAAAAACGTATCCTGCTGTCTCATAACAGCGACATTGGGTCTAAATTTTTGCGTGAGCGCGTCGCCGCCTATGGTCATTGGCTCCGTATGTGTAGTGCTTGTTATATCCCGGGAGGTTACAGTGTTCCTCCGCCGCTATAACTTGAGATTCAGCACCGACGTGCAAGGTTTCTCTCCTCCGGGTACCCCTCTAGAGAGGCACCGCCCCAGCACTGATAAGGTCGAAGCTTCTGACAGGTCGCCCGTCATGTGTGGTAGTGTGGCGCGTGTTAGACGATGTCAAGTGTAAACGTGTGAAAGAAAGGGGAAGGGATAGGACGAGGAAGTAGGAAAGATTGCCCGCAAACCGCGCGCCGTTTGTTAGGGTACTGCTCGGGTATACGCCAGGCATGGTGAAAAACCATTAAAAACTTCCAATTGGAGCAGCTGGTAGTTAGAATTCTCCTTCAGACAGCGTCTGAATTTGGCCCATCTAGTGGGGAAAAAAACACCACCGTTAGGACTAAAACGGTTCGAGACGTTGGGGGGGGGGGGCAAACGGGGCGGCCCTGAGCCATCTCAACCTCTTCGGATGGCAGGGCTGCCGTGCAAGCGAGGTTAATCGCCCCCTCCCGTGTGTGTCGCAGGTCCTCGTCGTGGCGCTGGCGGCGTTCGCCTGCCTGATGCAGCAGGCTTCCGCCCACTACGGAGGCGGCTACGGCGGCTACGGCGGCTACGGAGGCTACGACGGCGGCTACCGCCACCACGAGCCCATCCCGCAGAAGCCCTGCGAGCCCGCACAGCAGCCGCAGCCGCAGCCGCCCTCCAACAACACCGACACCACCACGCCCAGCAAGGTCGACGACCTGAGCAACAAGGTGAACGAGCTCCAGGCGAAGCTCGACGAGATCCTCAACGCCGTCAAGAGCAAAGCCTAACCGACGTCACTCACTCGCAATTAACATCCTGCAAACGTAATGACCGCTTTCGCACTTTGTATCCCTCTCCCATAAGCCTAAATAACTCATTTGTTATCACTCATACATAATAAACAACCTGCAAAATACTGCTGTTTCGATTTCTATCCCTTTCTCCCAAAACGTTTTTTTTTTTTTTTTTTTGCTGGAGTGCATAGTCACAATCCTGCACATATAGCCCTTTATAACTACATAGCCATTTTCCTCATCATTTTCTGGTATGCCTAAAAATGATGAAATTAGCAAATGATACTAGGAATTAACAAATGATGTTAGCTATAAAAAAAGGTTCGTTTTCGAAATTGGTATCTACATTATTCTCGAAAGGTAGTTAGGAGTAGAGAAACCAGTTAACAACAGATATTTCTACTTTGTCAATTGCAGAACATTTTACAGCTAAATTTTTCTAGGGTGGCCGCTGGGATTCGCGAGTAGCGGGAAGTGCGAATAGAGGATAGGGGGAAGCTGGAAGTGGTGGGGAGGGAGGAAGGAGACTGCCTTTGCTCGCGTCTGGCTCGTCTGCCCAAACTAAAAACCTAGCCTACCGCACCGCGCGTGTTAGCGAACTTACTTGGACATTAATTTACTTCAATTTTACTTTAATTACATTTATGAGTACATGTGCTTTAAATAATGCCATAACGTTTCTCGAAAACTCAACCGTTTACTGTTCTTGAATATTTTTAAAATAATATTTCACTTCTACTATTAGGAAACCGAAAAATTAAGACAATTTTTAAAAAAATGCATTTTGGGCGTCGATAGATGGCAGAGGTAGCAAGAATATGTGACAAGTTTGTATGGCTAGACGACACCAAAGGAAACAGAAAGCTCATACGGGAAGGTCGATGCCATTTGTTGCACAGATATTTAATTCTGCTAATAGTTATGTTCGTAACACTCATAGCAGCACTCAAGAACTGCTTTCACATTTTAACACTTTCGTTTGCTTCTCTCGCCATAAACAAATACTTTTACAACTACTTCGCGCGTCTGACTGTGACGGACGGTATGCAACTTGCTCTAAACTGGATGCATTACAAATAATCACAAACAGAACAACAATCACTTAAGCAGAATCACGTACAAATATTTCACTCTAGAAGGAAACGCAACTAACTGTAACTTGGCCCTCGCGGATACGAAAAATCGGGGTCAATGTTAACACAACTGAAGTAGGGCTGGGAAAGGACGTGCTCCTGCCCAATTTTGAGGAATAGACTCTTCCGGCAGCTCTGAGCCCTCGATCTTCAGCGGCCACGCTAAACTAATTCTTCCGTAATTATGCAAGCTACAACGTTATTAAGTAGTCATTAAGTAGTCATTAAGTAGTCATTAAGTAGTCATTAAGTAGTCATTAAGTAGTCATTAAGTAGTTATTAAGTAGTTATTAAGTAGTTATTAAGTAGTTATTAAGTAGTTATTAAGTAGTTATTAAGTAATGTCTGACCATTTTCTAGAATGTAATTATTGGTAACTATCGAAAGGTTTTTTGTAACTTAAAAAATTATCATCCATATATGACCTTTTAATTCAATAAAATATAACCTATAAAACAGAAAATGAAGACTTAATCACTGGCGAAATAAAAGAATTTGACAACAAAACTTTTATGTCCGTTTTTACTCTCTCGCCCTTATAAAGGTACTTCTTAATAAGACAAATTTATGTAATTTGGGGAAAAAAGCGGCGAATTTTCGGCAGAAAAACTCTTATTGCCGGGCCCCGGGAAAGAAAAAGTAAATAAATCCTGTTGTCAGATTTAGGGGGGAAATTCTCTGACACGTATTGTAGCCAGAATCCATGTTTTGTGGGTCCTTGAAAACGAAAAGTAGACTGTTGACAAAACGTTTGCCAACAGCGCAAGCGGCTAAACCGTTCAGCCGATTTTCTCCAAAACTGATATTCAATTGTCGATCTGGCTGATGACGCGCCCGAAATCGAAATTGTAATTTTGAAGGTACTTTTCATGAAGCCCATGGAACATTTTCACTCAAAGAAATAGCTTCATCGATTTTGATCAAATTTTGTTGTTGGATAATGAGAAGAACGTTTAAGAGAATGGTGCAGGTCTCATTTTCGTTGAAATACCTGATTTATCGAAAATTTCATAAATGCAATTTTTCGGCGTCTTCCTACAGTAGATGTGAAAATAATGTTTAAAAATAAAATGTGCTCATTAATGGCATCTTCAAAAAGAACATATTAAATTTTTCGGAAATATGAATATTTTTAGGGGCATTTGAAAAGAATTACATGAAAGAATTACTAGATTTATTTGAAAATAATGGTAGAAACAAGTTTCTCGCGCTTCGTTTGTGGTGATGTCAATCCGTAAAAGTAATTTGCGAAGTACATGGAGGCAGTTGGATATTAGAAAATCCCTTTCTCGTTGTTGAACTTAACATTAATGAACTTAATAAATTAACTTAATATTACAATAGTAAAACGAAAACTTATATTCATTATCTTTGATACGATAAGTGTTATCTATATTAAGTAGCAATGTATATGCATATTACGTAAGCGTTACAAATTTTGCGAGGAAGAAAATGCTTTCTTGCATTCTTTTGTTCTAAAAGCAAAGTAATATCGAAGTGATTAATTTGTAATGCAATTAATTTGAGCGGTTTAATTCAGGGCTTACAGACCTAATTTCTAAGATTTGTAAGAATTATCTTGATGGATATGTGTGTGAAGTTGCCGACTTTTATTTTAATTATCATTTATTTAATTATAATTATAATTATAGTTTTAATTATAATTTACTATTGAAAATCGCAATAACTTTTCCTCTTCTACAATTTGTATTCACAATGTATCAATGGATTTATTTCAACCAATCTGAAAACCTTCATTGAAATAAGCTCGATTAGATGTTCTCTCTTAAAAATATGATTTAAATGTAATATAAAAGGAAAGTTGAAAATATTGAGTATGACAATTTTGTATGAATTTCATTACAGTTGAACAATTTTGTATGAATTACGATAATATGATATTCACTTTTCAGCTATCTAACGATATTGGTTATCACGTTGCAAGTTAACAACAGGAACGTCGCGATGTGGCGTGACAGAAATACTCATCGGTCGGTTGTTAATAAATTGTCGGGTGGTTTTTCTGGAAAAGTGTTTCTTGTGAAAGAAAGTGCGACCGACAACGATGATGTAAATAGTGGATTTAAATTTGGCATTTTTCTGGTGTTCATATATTTTTGTTAGGTTTGAAGTCTTGTTTAGAGCAATTATTAGACAGCGGAACTTCATGCAATTGCACATTTTTACTGACTGAGCATATTTAAAGGCATCATATACAACTTTATCACCGAAAATAAAACGTTTCCGTGAATCTCTTTCAAAAGAAACGTGAATTAGGCCATGCCAATGCTACAATGCCAACAGTCTTGTAATATGAATGTTTCATTCATAAGATAGGTTCCAATTTCCGATAGTCATCAGATAAGACTGTTTTTGCTTGTATAGATTTTCTTCCTTCCTGACTATTTGTGCACACGCATTTAGTAAACTGGACGTAATTTTCATCTGATAACAATGCTATTGGTTCTCTCGCTTAATATTTTTTAAAATTAATATTTCATTATACGCGCTTCGTATTACAGTGTAAAATGAAGATTACGTAAATAAATGTTGTCTTTTACTACCTACATTTTTGTTGAACGCATATTCTTTATTTAAGTACTATATTGGCTATTTTAAATGCATATATTTTCAACCTTAAGTGCATGGTTGCGTGCATATTTTTAACATTTTTAGGGCACGAAGTTCCGCGGTGTAGTAACTATTTAGTAGTTAAGTAATTAGGGTAGTTTAAATTTGAAAATTAATCATTTACTAATTTAATTTACAATTATTAACTAGTTGCAATTAAATTGATGCTCTGCCAACACCGCTCGCAACGTATGACAGCAGCGACTGCCACCTCCGGATCGCGTTGTAAGTTCCGACTTTGTAAAGGCAAAAATAGGCATTTAATTGTGCAATTTGTGTTGATATATTAGCTTTAAAAGCATCCGTTTTAGAACCTTTCGTTATAAGACTTTTAATGAGTTTTACAAGAGATGTCATGTGTTAATATGGGCAGCAATTGCGTTATTATCATGTCACGCATCCTTTACTATGTGCGAGAAAGTACGTGCTGTTAGCACCACAATAGTGCGATTTTTTCAACTGTGCATCTGAACCGTGTCTTCAATTTGGCATTATCACTGCATTTCGTGTCTTTCTCGACGTGCCGCTAGTTGTCGCATGATCGCGACTGTACCAACCACTACTTGATGCGGTCGCGACATCTAGCGGTTCGACCGAAAAAGACGTGCAATTCAGTGCCATAATGCCAATGTGACGACAAGGCACAGGTGCACAGTTAAAAAACATCACACTAAAGTAAAGGAGTGAATCCCGGCCTTATTTTTCTGGCTTCACACATACATTTCCTGAGGAGTCTCTGATAGGAAATTCTATACTACTGCTTGAAACCAAATTCTAACTAAGAAATAGTGAAACTGCAATAGCATATACTTTCTCGACAGCAGGTCAGCCTTTATTTTATAATCATATTAAGTCAGCCTTCAGAATGCTCGTTATGTATATTTCAAGAATGTTCGTTCTCGCTTGGTATGTTGTATTCTGTGAAAACACATCCAGCAGCTCCCATATTTTTAGGTTACATAAGAGAATTTACGAATAATAAGTAAATTTCACCCTTATGATTCCTGTAATCCTCTTTTTATTAAACTAGGATACTTCACCTCTTGATTTAACAATCAGTAGTCTTTGTAAAAAATGACTTAAAGAGTGTCAACATCTTTTCAGCCAACACAGTTATACAGATAACTATAACACTTGATGTAGGAATCATATTCATCAGTAGTCAGTATCAACAGCATATTACCAACAATTCACATACAATACATTTATATAATTTTACAATACATCGCTAGATGACAAAAAACGATTAAAATCGATTGACAAATTCAAGTGCCAAGTAATATCTTTTCTGTGATATAAATATTTCTATACAATTAGTAACTATACCTAGCATCAAAAATGAAAATAATTTTGGTTTT